ATGCGGAGTTGCGCAACCTTATACACAGTCTTCGATAGTAGTTACTGTCTACACCCGAACAGGTTGAAATTCACTGGTCACACAACTTCCCACTAGAACTCGGAGAAGATTACTCACGAAGCTAGTCACTAGTGAGGATGTTATGATTGTTAAGTTCCACATTTTTGAAATCAAGTTAGACACTAACATCGTTGGTTACCGGCTCAGTGGTCCGATGGTTAGGCGTTCGTCTACAATACCGAAGGTCCTGTGATCGAATCCTGCGAGGTGCAGGAGTCGTGGATGCTCACTTCCACTGACGAGTCCCATACCAAGACGAAACGGCCGTCTTTCAGTGCTTCCAGGTTTCTAATGGTGGTGTTTGTTTTTTAATCCAAAATTATTCATTCACAATATTCAAATGACCAGTGAATAAGCTTCTTTTATTTATTTATTCCCCTTTAATAATAATATTAATAATAATAATAATAATAATAACAATAATAATAATGAGATTTTCCTCTCACTATTTTTTTTTCGTTCGGTTGCTGTTTTTATTTTATTTAAAAGAAAGAGGACAATTGTGACATCATTCATTACATGGTGTTGTCGATCAAAATATGTACAATAATTTAAAAGGCAATTAAAAACACCACACTGGATAGCGAGAGATAGAGAGAGATAGAACAGAGATAGAACAGAGAGAGAGAAGTAGAAAGAGAATGAAATTATTATTATTTTAAGAAAATTAACACTTTTACCACTCAAGTCAAAATAGAGAAACATACTTCCTTCACCCGATGAATGACTTAATTATGCATCTATGTATGTATGTTTGTACGTACGTACGTACATTTATGTTAATAAACTGAATCGAGGGAGTGAATTTTCAGGGAAGTAGAAGTAGAAGTCAACAGCAGAGAGGGATTTCAATAGATCATCACATGATAATTGGATGGATGATAGAACAGTATTGATTATCCCATAAGGTTAGTAAAATATATAATTCTATTTATTTTAAGTAGGATTGATTGAAAGTTGGACATAGAGATTAGTAAATAAAAATAAGATCTCTTCTTCGGTAAGAAGAACAGTTGTTGTATTAGTGGTAGTAGGCTAGACAGACATTACAATGAATTATGTGTCATTGTGTGTGTGTGTGTGTTTGTTTCATTTCAATTCATGACCTTGACTCATTATTCAAAAAGGGGAAGAAAATTACCAGAAAAAAAACTAGTCCTCCTCGGACATAAGGTAAACAAGGTTATTGATTGATTACTTAGTTCGCTTAGAAAAAAAAAAAGTAAAAAACTGTTGTTTCTAAAAATAGAATGCTGTTTTTTTTGTACAATGAAAAGTAATTAAGATAAACTAAGGAAGAAAAAAAATAATCTAGGCCAAAGAGAAAATAACAAAAAATGGACCAGAAAAATATATAATAAATAAAAAATTTTGGGGCACAGTTTTGGAGATTTGTGTTTCTGTACACATTTGAAATCATCAATCAATCAATCATTGTTACTAGACCACCATTATAGAAACCTGGAAGCACTGTAGAAACCTGGATGCAATGGACGACCGTTTCGTCCTGGGATGGGACTCATCAGTGTCAGTGCGCATCCACGACTCCTGCACCTCGCAGGATTCGAACCCGGCACTTTCGGTACTGTATGGGACTAATGGAGTTCGATCCTGTCGGGTGTAGGCAGTAACTACCAAAGACAAATGGGTGAGGTCGCGCAAAATCCATAGATCAATCAGAGTTAGACATTAACAGTGTTGGCTGCCGGCCCAGTGGTCCGATGCTTAGGTGTTCGCGTACAATACCGAAGGTCTCGGTTTCGAATCCTGAGAGGTGCAGGAGTCGCGGATGCTCACTGATGATAAGTCAATCCCATACCAGGACAAAACGGCCGTCCAGTGCTTCCAGGTTTCTAATGCTGGTCTAACAATGATTGATTGATGATTTCAAATGAATAAATAAATTAATTTTGAGAGGAAAAAAATAAAACAGAAAAAAAATAACATTCGATCTGTCTTCCTTTTTAGAAAATATTGTGTTAAACACTTTTCAGAGTATGATATGAAGATGGTAGATGGTGGAGAAGATTTGTAGCTCAGGTGGATGATTGTGGTGGTGGTGTTTGGTTCTCTGAGTTGGATGTTTTGGTAGTGGAGCTTTCATCAATGTTCTTCTGCTGAACAATAACATCGTCAGCAGAAACTTCAAACAGAAGTCAAGTATTCGAAGTATTCTCAATGTATGACTCGTAACTTGTCCTGTTAACCTCGATCTTGATTGGTTGCTGTTGACTTTAAGCCTGTCGTTGTTTGCACCTTTGTTTTGATTGTATCCCCCATTTTTGATCTGTTTCTTGATCCTATGTCCCCTATGATTTTTCTGATTGGTTGGTAAATTGGGTCAATATCGATGTGTTTGTTGATTGCTGATTGCCAAGCTTCTAAAAATTCTCTAGTGTTCTTTGTCCTCCCCCTACCCAGTATTTCCACATTGTCCGAATCGAATGTATGTCCATAATCAACGGTGTGTATTGTATTGATATAAGCGAAGAATTATCGTGGCGTTTGACTGCCAATTGGTGTTCACGTAAACGAAGTTGAAGAGGCCGTCCACTTTGTCCTATGTAGTGTTTTTCACAATCTTAGCAGTTGTTTATTTTGTAGATGATATTTGGTTTTTCTTGTAATGTCATTTTGTCCTTTGGTCTACATAAGATTGATTCAAGTGATTCTGTCGGTTTGTGTGCCACACCTATTCCAAATGGTTTCAATGCCGAAGGTCCCGGGTTCGAATCCTGCGAGGTGCAGGAGTCGTGGATGTGCACTGCCTCTGATGAGTCCCATACTAGGACGAAACGGCCGTCTTTCAGTGCTTCCAGGTTTCTAATGGTGTTCTAACAATGATTGATTGATGATTTCAAATGTGTACAGAAACGCAAACCTCCAAAACTCTGCCCTAAACTGTAAGTCATACGTGAAAAAATTCGAATACTTCACATCATCTATCTGAAGTTTGTACTACTGATGATGTTGTCCAGTAGAAGGAAGAGCAGTGATGAAAGCTCCACAACGAAAACATCTCCAACTCAAAGAACAAAACACGCCACCACACCACAATCATCCACCTAAGCTATACATTTTCTCGATCACTTCCATAGAATTCACACACACACACACAAATAGGTAACATTTTATCTGCTTCCCCGCCTTTTATGAGAATACTTAAATATGAAAAAAAAATGAAAAAATATACATATATATATATTGGAAAATTGAAAACATACTTTCACATTTCAATGCCAATAAATCATCGACACGTTTACGACAGACATTACAAAATTTTCTTTTAAAATGTCCAATTTCTGACCAACAATGAGGCACAGGATCCTTTAGATGCATAGACGGATAGATAGATTGAGAGAAAAAAGTAGGATAAAACAGAGAAGAATAATAAACAAGAGAAACAAGAAGAAAGCATATTATTTTGTGTGTGTGTGAACTTAATATGAAAAAGAAAATTAATGATAGTAGGCCATTTTTCCCTTTCTCCCTCTCTCAATCTCTATCTCTCACTCTCTCACTCTCACTCTCTCACTTCCTTTCTTTCTACTTCTTCGAATGACCTTTTTCTTCCTTTTTTTTAAAACAAGAAAACGATTTTGACATCAGGATACACGAATTCGTTTTTATTCAAATTAGATAGATAGATAAATAGATGTACATTTCCATTATTTGATATTTTTAATTAACAAAAAAAGAAACTGATAATTTAAACAATAATTTTTAATGATCAATAATATTCCACACACACACACACACCACACACAAAAGAAACGAATAAGGTGAATGAGAAACAATTGATCGTGATGATCATGATATGATTGATAATAAATACATTATGGCGTTATGGAGATTGTTGTAGATTATAATATGCTCAGTAGGGACTAACACTGTAAAAGGAAGTTTCTCTTAGTTCTGTAAATGAGAACTTGTGACGACTAGTGGAGTTTAACTTGGTTTAGGTGTGAAGCGATGTTAGATGCTGGCTCAGTGGTTTAGAAGTGGTTAAGCGTTCACATGTAAGATTGAAGGTTGTGAGTCGGAATCATGTGAGTTTCAGGAGTCGTCTATACCAGGACGAAACGGCTTATGGACAAACCTTCTTCAACATATCTTCTAGCCTTCAAAAATACACTGTTGATCTCCTTACTTATTTAGAACTTCTAAAGTGTATCTCGCCAGGTAGTACATTTTTGAGAGACACTTTAGAGTACGGGAAAAATTATAACGCAATTAATTCACGATATTGCGTAAATATCAGTTATTGTCTTCGATAAGAAACTATCTTATACCCAACATGAATTGAACTTAACTGGCCATGAATTCTCACTGAAACTTCAGGTATCCACATTTTTGAGACTAGTTACACGTAAACCTATGATCATTGTCGTTAATACTTACTTACTTACTTATGCACTTATGCACTTACTCACTTACTTACTTACTTACTTACTCACTTATTTACTTATGCATTTACTTGCTAACTTCGCATGTAAGACCGAAGATCGTGAGTCGGAATACTGTGAGTTTCAGGAGTCGTCAATACCAGGACGAAACGGTCGTTTTTCAGTGCTTCCAGGTTTCTAATGCTGGTCTAATATTGATCAGTTTATGATTTTTTTTAAAAAGCTGATAAACAGGAAATTTTAGTCCTCTTATCGAAATTGTTTGCAATGGTACAAGTGTATCAATTCTTTATCTTCTCTTAAATTCTAATCATCTGAATTCTTCATGGCTTTTTTTAAATCTATATCGCTGGGATATACATCTTGAATGATATCCTAGAAACCTAATCTTTTCCACTGCTGCTAATACTTCTATTGCCTCTACTACTATGTGATTTGAATTGACAACTGTGTCTGTGTGCTAATGTAGTATGGCAATCTGAACTGGTATATATACGTACCAAGTTCAAAGTTGTTTGTTGCTGACTGACTGACTGAGATTATGTAGCTACACAAAATACGTAAAATTACAAGTCGACATAGTTGAAAGACATGTGTACTAGTAAGAGTATTTTCATTTTAATTTTTCAGTACAGTTAATTATGAAGCAGTGAATTATTTTTGGGAGCTATATTTTGTGATGTAGGAGTAGGTTGGAAGAAAGTTAGGGTTACATGGCAGAAATCCATGAAGTCACTAACAACTGGAGTGAGTCATGTCGGCAGTTGTCGACTACCTGGTTGGGGTCCAGGAGACGAAATTCACCAATGGTTAGAGACATTGAACGGCATGGCTCAAAATCCTTTGCAATGGCTCAGGTGCATCCACTCTTTGTGTTCTATGAAATTCTAAGCTTCTGAATTCCTCATAATCTCTATCTTTCTCCTTCCAAATTTATCTCAATGGATTGTACTTTTCGAATCAAATCTTCGCTCCCTAATCTCCTCCATTACTGCTAATACTTGTACTATCTCCACCACTATGGGATTTGAACTGACAGTTGCGTCTCTGTGCTGATGTGGTATGGCAACCTGAACTGATGTACGTACGTACGAAGTTCTGCGTTGTATCTGTCTGTCTGAATTATTTTTGGTATATTGACGTCAGATTTATCATGTGTATTGATAAAAATGTGCAAACTCCCAATTAAACATTTTCAACAATCGACGTAAAGATAGCCAATCATGTAGAAGCAATCATTGTTAGACCACCTTTCTAAAACATGAAAACACTGAACGGCTGTTTCGACCTGGTATGGTACTCATCAGCAATCCACTATTCGTAACCACTTAGCCTGTCTAACTTCAATCAATTTATGATACTGTACAATCTCATTAATTTGCTTTAATGGGTCACACTTTGCAACTTTACTGGTTACAGTTTCGCACCAGAACTACTAGAATCCCTTCATGAAGCTAGTCACATTAATGAGCACATAATAATTTTCCGTATCAGGAGATTATGGAAATTCGACAATCTCAACAACATTAGGGGGTGTAGGAAGGATTTGATTTCTACCAAATTGCTCTCTCGTGCTGTTACGGGTATGAGGGCGGTTGTTACTTCCCGGCTACCCACACCGTGGAAGGTTGTTTCTTGAGGAACCTGAAAAGGGAAGTAGATTAGTGTTGGTATTAGAGACCTGGGTGCGTGACCGCAGAGCCCAAGGGACAACTGCTTGAGGCCGGTCACGCACGGCCTTTTTATGAAGGGTTTTTTTAGTATTAGCTCCGCTCTTAAAGGCCCTTAGTGGGCACCCTTACCCAAGGAGACGGAAATCCATGAGGTAGGGGAGGTGTGACATTTTTAGGGCCGACCTTTTCTAACCCTTCCTTCCTTGTGAGAGGGCAGCATCGCTGCAGATGCTGGCTGTCCGAGGGAAACACTTTACTGCTGTCACACCCCTCTGCAGTCAGCAGTACGACTTCGCCCTAAGACCTTGGGTAGCTGCTTTTAGTCTCATCGTTCTCCAATCGACCTGACTGGCATGGTAGGACCTACAGGAACATATGTTTCAGCCAGTATAGCTCGGTTGGTTCATCACGATAGGCAAGCCCGACCACCACGTCAAGGTAGCAGCTAAGTACGAAGTTCTACGTTGCAACTGACTGACTGACTGACAACAACCTTAGAATGATTTATTTTCATTTAAATTTAAATCGGTTTTTCTTCTATAGTTGTATTAAAATTTAATATAAAAATTTTGATGATTTTGAAATATATTTATTACACAACTAGTTGTGATAAGAATTTACCGGACCAGAAGAATAAATCATCATGCTGTACTACTACTACTCAATTCATTGTATTTGCACGCTTCATTCATTTTCCCCTTAGAAAAAAATTCAGTTTTTTAAAAAAATTGTTTTTATCTATTATTTTTGTTATCCATATGAAGAGTGAATGAGTAATTTTTTTTTAACGGTGTCCCATATCTGAACCCCATTCATATATATATATATAAATATTAACCCTTTATAAACAACTGACCACTTGAGTAAGAAAGCAAACGTTGAAGAGAAACAATTATCGGCTACCAAATACTCTCCCTCTTCTATATTAATATATACATATATATTTCACCCCCTTAGAAAATGAACTCATTTCTTGACCAATCATATCCTTCCAACCATCGTTTAGGACATTTCTGATGGTCATCAAATGACCTTCACATTTACTGAATTCTGATTGGCTTGTCATTTCAATTTCAATAATTCAATATATATATATTTTTTTCATTGCTTTTATTCACATATTTAATTTGTCTGAATATTATTTGTTTGTTATATAAATAGATTTTGACAACGTTGATAAATGTTATACAATTAATTTACATTTTTAGGTTAATGTTTAATTGTGTGATCATTTTTTTTATTAAGGATTAAAATATGATGATTATAATATTTACTGGTTTCGAAAATCAGTTAGTAGAAATCTAGGGAAAACTGAGGAGTGAAAAGTAACATGAAATAATCGAATTGTTGGATTGTACTATGGAATTAAGTATAGATAGACTACTTGGTTGTATGTAGTAGTTTGAGTGAGCTTGTTGTGATGAATGATTGGTGACTGGAAGTGTAACATGATTGCAGATCATTCGCAGCAGTCCAGATACATTCATTCAGTACATTTTTTTAAATATCATGTTGTTTTTGCCTAGTGTTTTCTATTAGTACTACTACAGCTACTACTACTACTACTGCTACTACTACTCCGACTACTACTACCATTACTACTACTACTACTACTACTACTACTACTACTACTACTACTACTACTACTACTACTACTACTACTACTACTGCTACTACTTCTCCGACTACTACCAGACCCCGGCGCAGCAATCTTGTCAGCTCCACAGACAGCACGAGTGGGTCGCCATCCACCGTCACTCTTGCCTCTCGGAACTTCTTCAGCGCGTCCTGCCTATCCGCCGGGCTGTCGAACTCCACCAGCAGCCTTTCCGTCACCACCTCCCAGTCAGCGTCCTCCAAACCATCGTACACCGCTCTCGCCCTGCTTCTTAGTAAAGTCCCCAACACCACCACCTTCGCCCTCTGCTCCTTGACTCTTACCAGCTCCGCCACGGCCTCGAACTCCTTACATCTCCGTCTTCAAACTCCCGAGGCCATGGGATCTTCATCCTGTGTAGAGGCAGCGACACCAATTGAGAAGACTGAGGCAGGCGCGGAACATTGTATTATGCAAATTTACACTCTGAGTCAATTAAAAACGACAACATTACATTGAACACTCTATTTGCACACCATCTTTGAGTCGTGACTTCCAACGCTCCAGCCTTCTTCCATTCCTGCTGTTGCTTCCTTTCCTTCCTGTTGGTACTACTCCATTTACTTCTTGCTTTTGCTCCATTTGCTTTCTGTTTTCCTCTTCTGACTCTGCGAATTCTTCTTCTTTCACGTCCCTTCTTATACTACTTATATCGTTCGTATAAGTAGCACACACCACACTACCACTACTACTACTATTGATTCTGTTACTACTTCTACAACTCTGTGATTATTTTTAAAAGAAAGTGTAGTTACTAGAACCAATGCATATCTGTACAATGAATTTATGCACGTTATCATAAATGCACCAATTTGGATTATAACAATGGAATAATCAGTAGTAGTTTTTAAAACTCCATAATCCGAACTTCAACTAATAACTGCAACAACTAACGGTAATAGTAGATTTTAAAAATCTTTAATTTTTGTCTTATTTAATATAAACAATTTGATTGATATCAATCTGTGATAGTTAGTTAGTTAGTTACAAGTTCGAATGCTATAAAAGCATAAACTAACCACTTTTTTGTCAATCTAAACCTCAGTAAACCATGATCTGTTTTTCTTACACACAAAAGAATAATGCAAGAAAGTTTTGTTGAGCCAAAAAAAAATTAAAAAGAAAGAAGTTACTTGTATAAAAAGAATGAAAATTTTTTTTCAAAATAAAAACTAATTACTACTACTAACCTTAGTTAAGAATGGTGCAATACATGTACATGCGGTTGTAACTGCACGCATACACTTTTCATGGGCTAGGAAATTACAAACTACAATGTTTGTTTGTTCGTTCGGCCGTTTGTAATTTTTTTGTTGAGAAAAAGAAGAACAGAAAAACAATATATTACAAGATTATGACAATCAATCTACATTGTGATATAAGTAATATTATAAGTAGTATTCTTCAAAATAATTGCGACTACATCGTAATAAGAATTTTTAATAAAACCATGAAGATAATTCTATTGTAAGTAGCTGAAATGTGATTATAAGCAGTTGTCTACTGAAGATACTCTGTTAGACAGGCATCATCAACAGCAGCCTACTGTGGGAAAGAACATATTTCCTGTTAGTGGAGGAAGAAGTCAGGAAAAAAACACTGGAGGTGTATAGGACACACCTAACTGCATCATGAGGCAAACCGTAACTTGCAAACTCCAAGGCAAAAAGAAAAGAGGCAAACTAAGGAAACAACTTCACTGAGAATTGAAGACAAACATGAGAAGAATGAATACCATTTAAGAATCATTGGAAAGGAAAGCTGAGGACAGAGTAGTTCGGAGATGACAGGTGTAAGTAAAAAAAATAATACTCTATCATCATTGTATGCTAAAATGAATCTTTGTCACATAAACTCATCAGTAATGTTAGGTGATCAAAGATAGTTTGAAGGGAACTAAGAAGCAAGACTGCTTGCTTGTTTGCTGACTCTCTGAAGGATTTGAACCTCTGTCCTCTAACAGAAGAAAATGAACCAAGTGAAGGAATTCAAATGATCGGTGACTATATTACAACTTGAATGATAGTATTCGGTCAGCAATTAGGAAAAGTGGTCGGTTATTGCAGTCTCAGCAGACATATAATACTTACTTACTTACTTACGCCTGTTACCCCCAATGGACTATAGGCCGCTCACCAGTTTTCTCCAACCAACTCTGTCCTTCTCCAGTTCTGTCCAATGTTTGTTCACTCCTCTCATATCTTTCTCTATTTCTCGGTGTAGTGTGTTCTTTGGCCTTCCTCTTTTCCTTTTGCCTTGAAGGTTCAAAGTGAGGGCTGGTCTTGTGACGCAGTTAGGTGCTTTCCGCAATGTGTGTCCTATCCACTAACTCCACCGCTTCTTCCTGATTTCCTCCTCCACTGGAATCTGGTTTGTTCTCTCCTACAGTACGTTGTTGCTGATGGTATCTGGCCAACGAATACGAAGTATTTTGCGTAGACAACTGTTAATAAATACTTGTATCTTCTGGATGATGGCTTTTGTAGTTCTCCAAGTATCCGCTCCATACAGTAGAACTATCTTAACATTTGTATTGAAAATCCTGATTTTGGAAATGATTGATAGTTGTTTTGAGTTCCAGATGTTGTTCATTTGTAGAAATGAGGACCTTGCTTTGCCGATCCACGCCTTCACATCTTGCAATCAGTATCCACCTTAGCTTCGTCAGTTGTGTATGCTCCAAATAGCCATCTCCATCAAGTATGATTTGTGGTTTTTGCAATGTTTTCATTTTGACCTGGTAAATTCTTTATTTTTCCACATTTGTGTACTTGTTGAAGACCTACTGCTGCTGAGTTCTAGCCATGTTACAACTGGTCTGCTGCTCTTGCATTTGGTTGTTGCGTAGTGCGAACAGAAACAGCCAGATCATCTGTGATATCTAGAATTGGTCAGCTGCATCCTAAGCTGGTCCATTGTGTTCTATCGATATTTAACTCTGAAACATTACCAGTGTACACATTTGTATTGGTTGTTTGCATCTTCTCACTGAAGTTTAGAATTTCAGTTGACTCGTCACTTTGGCGTGTCTGTGTGCATATGTCCGTCTTGGATTGTTACTGTTAGACACTATCCATTATCTTCTAACAATTACTCATTAAATACACTTAAAAAGTTTATGATACACATCTATGTATATAGTTAACTAAAGTTAAAAAACTACAATGAAATCGTGAAATAATTAACAATAATCGCGCAAAATTGATGCTCGGAGAAATTAAAAATATATAGAAATTAATCTTGTAATCACAAACTGACCTTCACAAACCATTCCTGTTGTTCCTAATATCCCCCATAAAAGATCTGAACAATGATGACATGTAGCCGGTTTGTGCAGATTCTTTTTTACAAACGAATGACCTTGAAACCAACCTTTCGGAGTGGAAGTACTTCTAAATTATGATTATTAGTTTTTTTTGAAGAAAAAAACCAAAAACAACAGCATTAATTTTGAATTAGATAACACATTTATTTCATAATTATAATTGAGAGTACAGTTTGAATAATTAAAAAGTTATTATTACCATACACAATATGGTAGTCAGTCAGTCAGTCAGATGCAACGACGTTTCGTGATCTCGTTTCGTCTGCATTAGCGGTGCAGTGAGAAAAGGGAGTGTGAGTAGAGTTAGTCGTAGAGATAAAAGAGATATTAGGGGTTGTAAGAAGGATTTGATTTTTACCGATCTGGTCTCTCGTGCTGTTACGGGTATGAGGGCGGTTGTGACTTCCCGAATGCCCACACCGCGGAAGGTACAATATGGTAGTAAGTAAATATGTATAGAATTTAAGAGTAAGTGATTAGAACGCCTGAAGTGAGGGAGAACACAGGTGGGGCAACTGAATTGCATTTAACGAACATTACAGCGTTAGTCGTTAACATTGGCAAACCATATCGTAAATCGTTAATTTACAAAATATCAGTTCATCATATCGAACTGGACTGTTCCTGTTGCGAAACATCAATCCATTGTCACTATTCATGCGTTTCATAAATTTCATTCCATTGCGTTCTAACTCTTCCTTTCTTGATCTTCCCCCATCTCTGCTGCCAGACATTACGTTGACACTCACGTCATATGCTACTTATAAGTAGCTCGCACCACACGCCCAATATGTGTGTGTGCGTGTTAAGTACAAGCGGGTATTTTCAATTCAGTATAATTGTGATTTGAATGTGAAGTGATATTTTTCTATTGAGTTCAAAACAGATTACTGTCAAGAACGAGTTCTGAACAAATGTTTGTTTTTTTTTTTGCTCTTCAGATAAAATCAATTAACAGTCTATCCAAACCATTATCATCATCATCAACAGCAAAGTAGAACTTAGCATTTAATCATAGTAGTTCAAGTTGCCATACCACACATCAGCACAGAGATGCAACTATCAATTCAAATCCCATAGTAGTAGACGTAGTAAAGCATTAGAAGTAATCGGCGAGATTATGGTTTGGAGATGTTATACAAGCAGTATGATTCAGTGAGGTAAATTTAGAAAGAGAAAGATAGAGGTGATGAGGAATTCAGAAGGTTAGAATGTGAGAGAACACAAAGAATAAATGCAACTGAACCACTGCAAACGGTTTTGAGCCATGTCATTCAGGGTCTCTAACCATCGATTATTATCATCTCGCGAAACCCAACTAGGTAATCGACATCTACCAACATGACTCAGTCCACTTGTCAGTGACTTTATGGATTTATGCCATGTTTTGGTTTGGCCGCCTCTAGCTTTCGTCCAGCCTATTCCTACAGCACAAAACATAACTCGTCGAGGCAGTTGGTGGCTGGTCATACGTAACACATATCCCAACCATCTCAACTGATGAAGTTTCATTACTTCATCTATTGACCTGCCATCCTTACCTAGTACCCGTTTCCTGATGATAGCATTGCTTACTCGGGTGTCCCACGATACTGGAGCAATGCTTCGGAGACACCTATAATCGAAAACCTTCTTCTCTGACTGGTCATGCTTTACAGCCATAGAGTAGGACAGAGCGAACTAATGCGCAGTGCACTCGTCCTTTAATCAGCAAACGGATATCTTGCCTACGCCATAAGTGACGCAGGTTGGCAAAGGCCAATTGAGCCTTCTGTATCCGAGCTGAGATTTCGTCAGTTACCAGGCCATCAGCACTGATGAGCCTCAACATATAAGTGAAGTGGTCAACACGCTCAACTGCTCCACTCCCTATCACTAGTTGAGGTACCAATGATACCCACTCTTGAAGCAATATTTTGCAATGACCGAAGTTGCTAATGCTTGAAATTGGGAATGCTTGTTGAGAAACTTATTAAATTCTATAAAACATTATTTTCATCAAATCAAATTGTCGTCATTGATATACTGAGATTTTTCAAACACAATTTATCTCAATTAATTACAAAAACTAGGATTCTCAAGGTCACATCATTACAAAAAGGTTTACGTCTATTCTGAGAGGTGAATTTTATACAGTCCTTTCTTAATTCACTCGTAACAAAATGAAAGTGCTGATTATCTGATTTATACAATTAAACATTCAGTGTTTTCGTGAGAATCTTTGAAATTTTTGTATTTATTATTTTCTTAATGGCAGGGTTGGAAAGTGGCTAACAGTGGAATCTATGGGGCACAAATTGTTCTATTCAGGACTCGTCTGCTGGATGTACCTGCTTGGTCGATGAGAAGATTAAAAAAACCAATAGAAATGAATGATTCTTTAACCCATTTCACAAGTTATTGGCTATATGAACTCAGCAGCTAAGTGGATAACACTATGACATTTAAAGAGTAAGGTATTGGGTTCGAGTCCTGAAATGAACATCAACTCTGAGATGCGGGTATATCCGGCTGACGAGTTCGTGGATCCCAATGCTATCGACATTCTTTCTCCTTTATGCAAGCAGAGTAAACGTTTAGGGTCACTTTATGATTAGAACACAGAAGATAGAAGATAAGGGTGAGATTATATGGCATTATTATATTTTTTATTGTTGAATTACTTTTTCTAATAATTTATTTTATTTTCTCCCCCCCCCCATGTTTTTCTCTGTTAGTACAGATTACTTGAATTATATAAGTACAAATGCAATGGAATGACACTAATGGTTTGTTTCATTTTGCGCATCCATGAACAAAAGATAAACAAAAATTAATCTTCATTATTCAACATGTTAGTAAATTAAAATTAATGCTAAAACCTAAATGGTTCCATCATTATAGAGTTTCGGAGATTGGGGGAATTTCAATTAAATTATGCATCGATCAGTGTTAGATTATCATTAGAAACCTGGAAACACTGGATGAATGTTTCGTCTTGATATAGGACTTATTGGCAATGTGCCTTCTTGATTCTGTGGGCCAGAATTAATATGCTGCTTTCGATTCCCGCCAGCTAGATTATGAATGTACACTGCTGACAAGTCCTACTTTATGTTGTTATTCGTCTAAATATTATATGTCGGCATAGATTATCACACAAACCATTCCAATTACAATTCATTGAGTGGGTTTTCGGTTAGGAGAAGTATGATAAAACAAATTATTGAATAGATAGATTATTCTGGTCTCAGTCTTATTTCTTAAAACAGAACACAAGTAAGTAATTACAACAGACTTGAATCCCCTCCCCCCCCCCCAAGCAAAAAATCGCCTGTTCGTTCCACAGGTGAGCACGTGAATTTCGCTCACAACAATCCCCGCCGCGTGTTGGTATATACCTTCTCGCGCCGGGGATTGTTGTGCGACAAATTCACGTGCTCACCTGTGGAAAGAACAGCGATTTTTTTTGCTTATTCAAGTCTGTTGTAATTACTTACTTGTGTTCTGTTTTAAGAAATAAGACTGAGACCAGAATAATCTATCTATTCAATAATTTGTTTTATCATACTTCTCCTAACCGAAAACCCACTCAATGAATTGTAATTGGAATGGTTTGTGTGATAATCTATGCCGACATATAATATTTAGACGAATAACAACATAAAGTAGGACTTGTCAGCAGTGTACATTCATAATCTAGCTGGCGGGAATCGAAAGCAGCATATTAATTCTGGCCCACAGAATCAAGAAGGCACATTGCCAATAAGTCCTATATCAAGACGAAACATTCATCCAGTGTTTCCAGGTTTCTAATGATAATCTAACACTGATCGATGCATAATTTAATTGAAATTCCCCCAATCTCCGAAACTCTATAATGATGGAACCATTTAGGTTTTAGCATTAATTTTAATTTACTAACATGTTGAATAATGAAGATTAATTTTTGTTTATCTTTTGTTCATGGATGCGCAAAATGAAACAAACCATTAGTGTCATTCCATTGCATTTGTACTTATATAATTCAAGTAATCTGTACTAACAGAGAAAAACATGGGGGGGGGGGAGAAAATAAAATAAATTATTAGAAAAAGTAATTCAACAATAATAAATATAATAATGCCATATAATCTCACCCTTATCTTCTATCTTCTGTGTTCTAATCATAAAGTGACCCTAAACGTTTACTCTGCTTGCATAAAGGAGAAAGAATGTCGATAGCATTGGGATCCACGAACTCGTCAGCCGGATATACCCGCATCTCAGAGTTGATGTTCATTTCAGGACTCGAACCCAATACCTTACTCTTTAAATGTCATAGTGTTATCCACTTAGCTGCTGAGTTCATATAGCCAATAACTTGTGAAATGGGTTAAAGAATCATTCATTTCTATTGGTTTTTTTAATCTTCTCATCGACCAAGCAGGTACATCCAGCAGACGAGTCCTGAATAGAACAATTTGTGCCCCATAGATTCCACTGTTAGCCACTTTCCAACCCTGCCATTAAGAAAATAATAAATACAAAAATTTCAAAGATTCTCACGAAAACACTGAATGTTTAATTGTATAAATCAGATAATCAGCACTTTCATTTTGTTACGAGTGAATTAAGAAAGGACTGTATAAAATTCACCTCTCAGAATAGACGTAAACCTTTTTGTAATGATGTGACCTTGAGAATCCTAGTTTTTGTAATTAATTGAGATAAATTGTGTTTGAAAAATCTCAGTATATCAATGACGACAATTTGATTTGATGAAAATAATGTTTTATAGAATTTAATAAGTTTCTCAACAAGCATTCCCAATTTCAAGCATTAGCAACTTCGGTCATTGCAAAATATTGCTTCAAGAGTGGGTTGCATTGGTACCTGAACTAGCGATAGGGAGTGGAGCAGTTGAGCGTGTTGACCACTTCACTTTTCCCGGGAGTCTCATCAGTGCTAATGGCCTGGTGACTGACGAAATCTCAGCTCGGATACAGAAGGCTCGATTGGCTTTTGCCAAGCTGCGTCACTTATGGCGTAGGCAAGATATCCGTTTGCTGATTAAAGGACGAGTGCACTGCGCATTAGTTCGCTCTGTCC